GGATGAGTGGTTATGCGGATGCATGGTATGAGCAGTATTTGGGAAGTTGTGCAGTGGGAGGTGCAGCATTGCATAGCATCTGTGAGCTAGTGTCATGTTCATTGGGGCGTAGTGATCGAGTGGCACTGGGTGGGGAGATAGATGAGGGCGAGGTTTGGCGGGCATTAGTGAGTATGCGTATGGGAAAGGCTCCGGGGATTGATGGATTACCCTGTGAATTTTACCTGCAGAACTGGAAGTTAATGCGTGGATTCCTGGCAGAGTTAAGGAATATCATGAAGGAGAAGAGGGTGTTGGGAGAGTTGCAAGCCACAGCAGTGGTTGTTCTGGTCCCAAAGGGAGAGGTCCAAAATACCCTAAAGGATTATCGGGCGATATCTTTACTTTGTGTGGATTATAAATTGTTTGCTAAAATACTGGGAAATCGCCTGAAATGTGTCGTGGGGCGTGTTGTATCTGGAGGGCAATATGGGTTGCCTGGCAGATCTATGGTCGAGTGCCACGGACGTCTTAACGGGGCAAGGAATTACGAGAATCTTAAAGCAGGTGTTTAGGTTTATATGGGGTTCTGGGTGTGATTGGCTGAGGAGGGAGGTGGTAATGCTGCTGGTACGTCAGGGGGGTTAGGGTTATTGGATCTACAGCGCTGAGTAAAATGTGTTTACTTACGAATGGAGTATGTACGAGTCGGGTGGGGGGGGGGTTAAAGCTTCTGTATGAGGGAGTGCAGAAGTGGTATGTGGGTGCAGAGTTGAGGGAATGTGAGGAGGTGCTGCGTACCCTCATGGTCCTACGGGAGCCTGGCAAGATCCGCATAGGGGTTTTGGCGAGAGTAATTGGGAGCCGGGTGGTGGTGCCAGTGGAGGGAATATACCCCTTGCATGGATGGGAAGATATTTGGTGTCGTTTTCGTAAGTTGAAGCTTAGACCTCGGGCATTTTGTCATCAGGAGCGGTCCTGCGGGCGAATAGTAGAGGAGAGTGGGTGTGGAGTGTGTGGTGGAGAGGATACGGCACATCATGCGGTGTATTTTTGCGAATGTTTGGGGAATGTTAGGGATTGGATGAGTAGGATAGTGAGGCTAGTGGGAGGGGGGGGGCATACCGGTGCTGAGAGCACTCGTTTTGGATGTGGGAGGGGTGCCAGAGAGTACACAACGAGCATTGGCATATTTAATGGTAGATTTTGTGTACGTGTCGTGGGGTATGCGTGGGAATGGGGATTGGGTTGCGAGGAAACGGGTAATGGCAGCTACTGTTTTATAGGACGGTTTGCAGGAATAGGGAAATATATGGATCACGGTGGGACGGAGCCTTCCCCGCAGGTTATCGTGGTTTAACTATTGGGATCTTATTACCTTTGTAGGGGGGGGGGGGGGTTGTCATGGCTGGGGCAAGGATTGACAATGTTTTCCGGGGTTCCAATGGGCTCGCCGTCGGGTGTGTGTGTGTGTTGTGGTGTGTGTGTGTGTGTGTGTGTGTGTGTGTGTGTGTGTGTGTGTGTGTGTGTGTGTGTGTTGTGTGTGTGTGGTGTGTGTGTGTGTGTGTGTGGTGTGGTGTGGGCGTATGGCTTAGATGTAAACGAGGGAAGGTTCAGTGTGGTTAGTAGGTGTTAGGATGTACGTGTGATGACAGCTGGATTACGCGTGTGATCCAGTTTAGTAGTGGGGATTTTCGGTTTATACTTTTGTGTACGTGTCTCACGGGATGATGACTGCATTACCCTCTGTGTATATAACGCCTTGCTATGCTTGGTCACTTACCATCACACCTATGTAAGAGGGTTGAGGTATATCTTATTTTTTAGAGGTATTGCACGCATGTATGCTGTAAGAATGCTTGGGTGTGGTTTGTTGTGATTGTGATACTGTTGCGATGTGACAGGCTTATATGCTTATGTAAAGCTAGGAGAATGAGTGACAGGGTAATGTATATACTGCCGAGAGGCAGTGGTGGTTGCCCAAATGAGGGGGAAGAGGGGGGGGGGGAGAGGTAAGGAGTGTTGAAGTGACTGACTTTGCAAATTGATAGTGTTTATTGTATACACCTTGTTTTGTACAATGACCTTTGTGCAGTGTATAGGTTGTGGTAGGGTAGTATATTTACGTGTTCGCATTAGGTTACAGAAGCCTGTGCTGTGATATTGAATTTTGTTGATAACATATTTAATCTTATATGATATATCAATTGTATGTGTACAACGACATGTTCATTCAGTAATTGGCCAGTGTGTTTGGCCAGTGTATTAGGAATGTGTTTTTCTTGTTACATTAATATGTGTGATGTCTTCTTTACTTGACTCTACACAAGTACTGTTGTTTTGGTCCGCTGCACGTCACACTTATGTTGAAGTGAGACATGACAATGTTAAGTGTTTTTCATATATAATATATATATATATATATATATATAATATTATATATATATATATATAATATTATATATATATATATATATACTGACAGGTTGCTTGAGAGGTGTGTAGTGTGCTTGTAAATTTTATCGTTTTTCTGTGTCGGGTTTCTTCTCCTGTGTACAACAACGTGTGTGTGTGTGATATTTTTCTTTATGTACTTATTGTTCTCAGTATGTCTATTCTATATATATGTATTATGTTTGTCTGTACAAGATATGCTCTCAATAAAATATAAAAAAAAAATTAAAGTGTCCACAAATGGTTCACAATTATAAAATGGTTTATAAAATTATGGCACACTTCACTATACAAATTACAATGCAGTGCAGAAACCTACATAAGTGTGTGTGTGTGTGTGTGTGTGTGTGTGTGTGTGTGTGTGTGTGTGTGTGTGTGTGTGTGTGTGTGTGTGTGTGTGTGTGTGTGTGTGTGCATAGCAACTACTGTAAAAAAAAAATAGTGAAATTCCAAACTCTTTTGTGATTTCTTACATTATCAAGGACCTGTTATAATAATAAAACAGCAGAAGGCTTATAAAGCTGTGATATCACCTCATAGTCACGTTCGACATTACATTAGTCGCATTATGATGTGGATGGGATGGTCGAGTACTTGTCAGTGTAAATTCTTCCCTAATTTTACGGTTCTCGTCTTTCAAAAGTAGATTAATTTTTTACCAAATATTATTAAATAAAAATTAATCTAATTTGTATACTCGTATTTTAATGTAAGTTTGAACAATATAACTCACTGCCTTTTTTTAGATGCCTTAACTGTTAAGGGTAACCATGAATTTAAATTCGAAATGTACCGAAAGCCAACAAATAACTTTTCTTACGTGCACTATTATTTTTCTTATTATGACAGAGTTAAACTTTCTAGTCAATGTTTTTGAAAGCTTTGTGTATTTGCACCCAAAAATTTAATTGTCATATCTTTTAAAATTGCCAGAAACACATTTTCCAATTCGAAAAAGAACAAAGAAACATATTCAACCAAGATTATGTTGATTCTACCTTACCATAAGAACCTTCATAATATACCTTCTCTTAAGAATTTTTGAATAAAAATTGTATTTAAAAAACTTTATGTCTGTTTTCAAGATTTCCTGTAAAAAAATCCAATGAATTTTATTATGATCACACTGGAAAAAGTCTTGAACTAAGATTACAATAACATAAACATAGCATTAGAACTGGACAAAAATCTAATCCCCTGTTTCTTCATATGAGAGATTTTAACCACACACTTGATTTTCTTAAGGCTGAAAGAAATGTAATTGAGCCGAGTTTCATCAAAAAATAATACTGGTTTCAATATAACTATTCGTTCAGGGTTATGTAAATTAGAAACATTCATAATAAATAGAATTTGCGAGGAATTTCAGCTGTGTCTAACATGTCCTTCATAAAAAAAAAAAAAAAACTTGACATGTGACCCGTCCCACGCTTGTGTGTGAGGTAATAAGTGGGGTGAAATCTCAACCTTATAAGTCTTCTGTTCTATTATTTTTACTGTTTCTTGATAATGTGAGAAATTATGTAAGCGCTTGTAATTTCACTATTTGTTAATGTGGTTATTTTGCATATTGTTTACTGTTCTACTTTGGCGGATGGGGAGGCGATTCGCGGTCTGCAGATTGACAGTCTTATGCTCTACCGATCCAGCTATTCAGGCCTCTAACACGTTCATCTCCCTGTCCACCATTCTTTTTATTAACTGACAATTGTTTATTACAACTTAGTATGAGTTCATAGATGATGTAGCCTTGAGAGAAGGGGGTAAGAATAAATCTACTGCTAAAGTTCCTGGGCCGAGGGATTATTATTATTACAATCAAGGGGGAAGCGCTAAACCCGGAGGATTATACAGCGCCTGGGGGGGTATGTGGAAGGCATTCAGGCTTAATTTGGGGAACTGGAGCACAGATCCAATTCCCTAAATCAAGAGCCCCTCACCAACATCAAGGAACCTTCCTTGAGGGGCTGGGCCGAGGGAAGGAGTTTAGTTGGGTTGCATTTGGTAGCCTCTGACGGAATATAATACAGTATTAGTTCTGAGTCCTTTCTCTTAGAGGACTGGGTAGCGGGGTCGGTAGAACGTGATGTACGGGGAGGCCGCCGCGGTTTGCCTCTCCGTGCATCATTCTGTTCAGTCATTGACAATTGTTTATTTATACTCACGAATCCTTTGTGAATATCAAATGGTATACAATACCGACAGGTTGGTAGATATGTTAATCACAGCATATATCCTGTGATTAACATAGGGGTACAACTGATGTCTTCTCCCTTTTCGAAACATCATAGATGCAGAAGATTAAGTTCTTTAGATGGCTTTTTAATAAAGCTCTCTTTGTCTAAGTTTTCATAACACAACATGAATAAGGTCAGAGGGTAAATAATCATTATATAAAATATCAAATATAGTTGGAACATTGCAATTAATTACAGTGCTTCAATTTGAATACTGATATGATTTCTGCGTAGCATTGACAGTATAAGTATTTTTCCTAGCGTCTTCTGCACGGGTGCATTCTGTAACTGAGTAATATAAATCTTCACCATTGTCACATTGAGTTTCAGAAATACGTGAGTGGGATGGAGTACCTAAACTCAACGCGATGGGTGATTAGTCTGAGAGTAAGCAACGTGCAGGAGTTTGACCTTCTCGGCTACCGCTGTCGAGCCAACAACAGCGAGGGAACAGCAGAGGCTAGGGTTGCCGTCTTCAGTAAGTTACATATAATTTCTCTCTCTCTCTCACACACACAAGACGGTCAATAAAAAGTAAGATATTAATCATAAGTTGTTTAAGAAGTGTTTACTGTAATTGATTAATTTGTATTTTGCTATTGCTTTGATCAAATCCATTTAGCTCAAGTGTTATTAAATCAAAATATTCTTAACTGCTAATGTTTAAATTAACCAAAGAATATAATTAATAGTGATGATAACAATGATAATATTATTAACATCAATAATAATTGGTCATAATCACAATAATAATAATAATAATAGTAGTAGTAGGTAGTAGGTTGGTAGACAGCAACCACCCAGGGAAGTACTACCCCCCTGCCAGATGACTGTGAAACAGAAACCTGTAACTGTTTGGCATGATGGTAGGATTGCTGGTGTCTTTTTCTGTCTCATAAACACGCTAGATAACAGGGATATCTTGCTACTCCTACTTACACTTTGGTCACACTTCACAGACACGCACATGCATATATATATATATATATATATATATATATATATATATATATATATATATATATATATATATATATATATATATATATATATATAGATAGATAGATAGATAGATATACATACATCTAGGTTTTTCTCCTTTTTCTAAATAGCTCTTGTTCTAATTTATTTCTTCTCTTGTCCATGGGGAAGTGGAAAAGACTCTTTCCTCCGTTAGCCATGCGTGTCGTATGAGGCGACTAAAATGCCGGGAGCGATGGGCTAGTAACCCCTTCTCCTGTAGACATTTACTAAAAAAGAGAAGAAGAAAAACTTGGGATGCTTGAATGTGCGTGGATGTAGTGCGGATGACAAGAAACAGATGATTGCTGATGTTATGAATGAAAAGAAGTTGGATGTCCTGGCCCTAAGCGAAACAAAGCTGAAGGGGGTAGGGGAGTTTCGGTGGGGGGAAATAAATGGGATTAAATCTGGAGTATCTGAGAGAGAGCCAAGGAAGGAGTAGCAGTAATGTTGAAGGATCAATTATGGAAGGAGAAAAGAGAATATGAATGTGTAAATTCAAGGATTATGTGGATTAAAGTAAAGGTTGGATGCGAAAAGTGGGTCATAATAAGCGTGTATGCACCTGGAGAAGAGAGGAATGTAGAGGAGAGAGAGAGATTTTGGGAGATGTTAAGTGAATGTATAGGAACCTTTGAACCAAGTGAAAGAGTAATTGTGGTAGGGGACCTGAATGCTAAAGTAGGAGAAGCTTTTAGAGAGGGCGTGGTAGGTAAGTTTGGGGTGCCAGGTGTAAATGAAAATGGGAGCCCTTTGACTGAACTTTGTATAGAAAGGGGTTTAGTTATAGATAATACATAGTTTAAGAAAAAGAGGATAAATAAGTATACAAGATATGATGTAGGGCGAAATGACAGTAGCTTGTTGAATTATGTATTGGTAGATAAAAGACTGATGGGTAGACATCAGGATGTACATGTTTATAGAGGGGCCACAGATATATCAGATCACTTTTTAGTTGTAGCTACACTGAGAGTAAAAGGTAATGGGATACAAGGAGAATAGAAGCGTCAGGGAAGAGAGAGGTGAAGGTTTATAAACTAAAAGAGGAGGCAGTTAGGGTAAGATATAAACAGCTATTGGAGGATAGATGGGCTAATGAGAGCATAGGCAATGGGGTCGAAGAGGTATGGGGTAGGTTTAAAAATGTAGTGTTAGAGCATTCAGCAGAAGTTTGTGGTTACAAGAAAGTGGGTGCGGGAGGGAAGAGGAGCAATTGGTGGAATGATGTTGTAAAGAGAGTAGTAAGGGAGAAAAAGTTAGCATATGAGAAGTTTTTACAATGTAGAAGTGATGCAAGAAGGGAAGAGTATATGGAGAAAAAGAGAGAGGTTAAGAGAGTGGGCAAGCAATGTAAAAAGAGAGCAAATGAGAGTGGGTGAGATGTTATCAACAAATTTTGTTGAAAATAAGAAAAAGTTTTGGAGTGATATTAACAAGTTAAGGAAGCCTAGAGAACAAATGGATTTGTCAGTTAAAAATAGGAGAGGAGAGTTATTAAATGGAGAGTTAGAGGTATTGGGAAGATGGAAGGAATAATTTGAGGAATTGTTAAATGTTGATGACGATAGGGAAGCTGTGATTTCGTGTATAGGGCAAGGAGGAATAACATCTTGTAGGAGTGAGGAAGAGCCAGTTGTGAGTGTGGGGAAATTTCGTGAGGAAGTAGGTAAAATGAAAGGGGGTAAAGCAGCCGGGATTGATGGGATAAAGATACAAATGTTAAAAGCAGGTGGGGATATAGTTTTGGAGTGGTTGGTGCAATTATTTAATAAATGTATGGAAGAGGGTAAGGTACCTAGGGATTGGCAGAGAGCATGCATAGTTCCTTTGTATAAAGGCAAAGGGGACAAAAGAGAGTGCAAAAATTATAGGGGGATAAGTCTGATGAGTATACCTGGTAAAGTGTATGGTAGAGTTATTATTGAAAGAATTAAGAGTAAGACAGAGAATAGGATAGCAGATGAACAAGGAGGCTTTAGGAAAGGAAGGGGGTGTGTGGACCAGGTGTTTACAGTGAAACATATAATTGAACAGTATTTATGTAAGGCTAAAGAGGTTTTTGTGGCATTTATGGATTTGGAAAAGGCGCATGACAGGGTGGATAGGGGGGCAATGTGGCAGATGTTGCAGGTGTATGGTGTAGGAGGTAGGTTACTGAAAGCAGTGAAGAGTTTTTACGAGGATAGTGAGGCTCAAGTTATAGTATGTAGGAAAGAGGGAGATTATTTCCCAGTAAAAGTAGGCCTTAGACAAGGATGTGTGATGTCACCGTGGTTGTTTAATATATTTATAGATGGGGTTGCAAGAGAAGTAAATGCGAGGGTCTTGGCAAGAGGCGTGGAGTTAAAAGATAAAGAATCACACATAAAGTGGGAGTTGTCACAGTTGCTCTTTGCTGATGACACTGTGCTCTTGGGAGATTCTGAAGAGAAGTTGCAGAGGTTGGTGAATGAATTTGGTAGGGTATGCAAAAGAAGAAAATTAAAAGTGAATACAGGAAAGAGTAAGATTATGAGGATAACAAAAAGATTAGGTGATGAAAGATTGGATATCAGATTGGAGGGAGAGAGTATGGAGGAGGTGAATGTATTCAGATATTTGGGAGTGGACGTGTCAGCGGATGGGTCTATGAAAGATGAGGTGAATCATAGAATTGATGAGGGGAAAAGGGTGAGCGGTGCACTTAGGAGTCTGTGGAGACAAAGGACTTTGTCCTTGGAAGCAAAGAGGGGAATGTATGAGAGTATAGTTTTACCAACGCTCTTATATGAGTGTGAAGCATGGGTGATGAATATTGCAGCGAGGAGAAGGCTGGAGGCAGTGGAGATGTCATGTCTGAGGGCAATGTGTGGTGTGAATATAATGCAGAGAATTCGTAGTTTGGAAGTTAGGAGGAAGTGCGGGATTACCAAAACTGTTGTCCAGAGGGCTGAGGAAGGGTTGTTGAGGTGGTTCGGGCATGTAGAGAGAATGGAGCGAAACAGAATGACTTCAAGAGTGTATCAGTCTGTAGTGGAAGGAAGGTGGGGTAGGGGTCGGCCTAGGAAAGGTTGGAGGGAGGGGGTAAAGGAGGTTTTGTGTGCGAGGGGCTTGGACTTCCAGCAGGCATGCGTGAGCGTGTTTGATAGAAGTGAATGGAGACAAATGGTTTTTAATACTTGACGTGCTGTTGGAGTGTGAGCAAAGTAATATTTATGAAGGGATTCAGGGAAACCGGCAGGCCGGACTTGAGTCCTGGAGATGGGAAGTACAGTGCCTGCACTCTGAAGGAGCGGTGTTAATGTTGCAGTTTAAAAACTTTAGTGTAAAGGACCCTTCTGGCAAGACAGTGATGGAGTGAATGATGATGAAAGTTTTTCTTTTTCGGGCCACCCTGCCTTGGTGGGAATCGGCCACTGTGTTAATAAAATAATAATGACGATAATAATAATAATAATAATAATAATAATAATAATAAAAATTGGTCATAATCACAATAATAATAATAATAATAATAATAATAATAATAATAATAATAATAATTAATAATAATAAATAATAATAATAATAATAATAATAATAATAATAATATATAATATAATAATAATTATATTATTATTATTATTATATTATTATTATTATTATTATTGCTGTTATTATTGTTGCTACTCTTGAGCAGCTAGAGAGGATGAAGCAGAATAGGGTGGAAGAAAGGAGTAGGAGTCGACCCAGGAAGTGTGTTGGAGAGAATGTAGAATGTTATGAGTACTAGAGTGTCAGTGGCTTGAGTATCCAGCAGGCTTATTTTAATACTGAATCTTTTGATACTAAAACCACTACTACTACTACAGTTACTATTACTACTATTACTACTACGGTCTCATCTATTATCACTGTTACTACTAATCATAATAATAATAGCAATAATTATTATTATTATTATTATTATTATATTATTATTATTATAATAAAGGCAGCAGTAAAAATAAAATACTACTACTACTACTACTACTACTACTACTACTACTACTACTACTACTACTACTACTACTACTAATAATAATAATAATAATAATAATAATAATAATAATAATAGCAATAATAAAAATATATGTATTTAGAGACAGGTATCCAAGTATGCAATAACACCAGTTCCCTATGCCTCAGTACACAGTTAATAATGCAGTTAATTAAATATTAATGTTGAAGATTTGAAGGGAATCAGAAGAAGCATTCATAAGTAATCATTTGGATAGTAATTTCCAAATTTCTTCAATGAAAATGGTAAATTAGGACATACACAGACTAAATCTAATTCAAATCTTTTAGAGACCAAAGAGACCAATATCAGGAAATACATAAGCATATTAAGCGTGACGCCGCGAATCTTAGAAAACTGGCCAACCTTTAAGAACAGAAAAGGGTAAGTTTTGCGTAACATTATTGTACATAACAGAATTTTGTAACTATCTTGAGGATACACAAATGTTATAGGCACATTAAAATCATTAGGATAATCAAATAAAGTCAAACACTCTAACTTATTTCTAATCAGAGGAGACAATCAATAATTATTTCACAGAAACCAATTTGATTAATAAAATTGGCATATGATTACTTAACATAAGAACATAAGAAAGAAGGAACACTGCAGCAGGCCTACTGGCCCATGCGAGATAGGTCCAATTCTCCCACTGGCTTAAGCCAGTGCCTTAACCTAGTCAGATCAGTCACATTCACTGTAGCACAAGCTAGTTAGGTCCAACTCACACCCACCCACACTCACTCATGTATTTATCTAACCTATTTTTAAAACTACACAGCGTCTTAGCTTCTATGATGGTACTCGGGAGTTTGTTCCACTCATCCACAACTCTATTACCAAACGAATGTTTTCCTATAACCTTCCTGAATCTGAATTTTTCCAACTGAAGGCCACTGCTGCGAGTCCTGTCTATGCTAAATATTTTCGGCACGCTTTCTACATCCTCTTCATTAATTCCTGTTTTCCATTTATACACCTCAATAATATTCCCCCTAATTCTACTCCTTTCTAGAGAGTGTAGATTCAGGGCCCTCAGCCTATCCTCATAGGAAAGATTTCTGATACATGGGATGAACTTTGTCATCCTCCTTTGTAGGTTTTCCAGCGCATTTATATCCATTCTGTAATACGGTGTCCAGAACTGTGCAGCATAATATAAATAGGCCTAACCAAAGATATATAGAGTTGAAGAACAACCTAAGACTTCTATTATTTAAACTTCTTAATGTGGAGCCAAGGATTCTGTTACCTTTATTGCGAACACTTATGCACTGCTGTCTTGATTTCAGATTACTGTTAACCAGAACTCCTAAATCCTTTTTGCAATCCGTAATATTAAGATCTACATTATTTAGTTTATATGTAGCATTGTTATTTTCCTGTCCAACATTTAGAATTTTGCATTTGTCTACATTAAACTGTATCTGCCACTTCTCCGACCACTGCCCGACGTGCCACCATTCTGTTTTCTCCCCATTTATGCAAACTGTTTGCTGCCTCTTTGTCAACCATGCCTCTACCCAGGAAAAAATTTCTCCTATTCCGTGTGCCTTAAGTTTCCTTAATAGCCTCTGATGTGGAACTCTATCGAAAGTCCATATACACAATATCATATTCAACACCATGATCTACCTCCTGAAATACCTTAGTGAAGAAAGTCAGTAAATTCGTAAGACACGAACGCCCTTTTGTGAAACTGTGCTGAGATTCGTTTATCAATTTATGCCTTTCAAGATGGCTACGAATTCCTTCGGCAATTATTGACTCCATAAATTTTCCCACTACGGAGGTTAGGTTCATTGGTTTACAATTCGAAGCTAAGGACCTGTCACCTGCCTTGTAAATAGGCATTACATTTGCCATTTTCCACTTGTCTGGCACTATGCCAGTTTGTAGTGATATACTGAAAAGATTAGCCAAAGGTATGCTAAGTTCTTCTTTACATTCCTTTAAAACCCTCGCAAACAGTTCATTAGGGCCTGGGGATTTGTTAGGTTTTAATTTCTCTATTTGTCTGAGGACCATGTCACTAGTTACACCAATAGTGCATAGTTAATTAACGTCCTTTTCTACATAATTAATTATTTCTGGAATTTCGCTAGAATCTTCCTGAGTAAAAACTGAGAGGAAGTAGGTATTGAAAGATTCATACATTTTCTTATCACTGTCAGTGGTTTGACTTGAGTTACTCTTAAGTGGGCCTATCTTGTCCCTAATCTTACTTCTGTATACCTGAAAGAACCCTTTTGAGTTAGTCTTTGAATCCCTTGCGACTGATAATCCCTTTTTGCTTTTCTTATTCCTGTTTTTTCTATCTCTCTTTAATTGATTATATTGATTTCTTAACTGCCCATCCCCTCTTTTGATACGCCTATATGTGCCTCTCTTTTGGACAATGAGATGTTTTAATCTATTGTTTATCCATTTGGGATCATTTATGTTAGATCTAATTTCCCTATTCGGAACAGAAGTTGTTTGGGCAGCTAGCAATATGCTTTGAAACACGCCATAATGGCAACCAGCACCACCTACCTGACCCATAGTCAGGTCATCGCAATTTAGCCCACCTTGAAGTCGGCCAAGCGAAAGTCTGGAAGAGAGACTTGTTGCAGTTATCTTGGTGAAAGTTAAGACACTTGTGCAACATTTGGTTATCTTTATTGTAAACGTTTCGCCATCCAGTGGCTTTTGTACGTAGTTCTTCTGTTTTCTAATTATGTCCAAGAATTTGTATTGATAAAGCCACTGGATGGCGAAACGTTTACAATAAAGATAACCAGATGTTGCACAAGTGTCTTAAACTTTCATCTTGTCGCTATTGTATACCTGTCTTGCACAGTTATCTTGGTAATTCCATGATATATTGAAACTAAGTGAGTTATGATCGCTTTCCCCAAGTTCATTATTAACCTCAAGATTATTAACTAGTGATTCTTTGTTGCCAAGAACCAAGTCAGGCAAGTTGCTTCCTCTAGTGGTTCTGTCACAAACTTTTAAAATGAATCCTGAACCGTATCAAGAAAGTCATTAGACCCTAGATTTCCTGTCACATTGTTCAAATCAATTTGTCTAAAGTTAAAATCCCCCATTAACACAAACTTTTCATATCTAACCCTTTATAAATTTTGCCCCCATAGCAGCCTACCGCACCCCTTATAAAGGTTTGGGGGGGCCTAAAAATCACACCCAAATTATTTTCTTCACGCCTTCGGAAACTGTAGCCAAACGATTCAGTGTGATGTTTCAAATTGTCTAACCAAAAATTGAAATTATTTGAATAATGCCACTCCAACGCCCTTCCTGTTGACTTATTGTGGGGAATAGTTTTATAACCCTCTATTTTGCTTCAGAAGGCTTTTCCCTTATCTTTCAAGTTGAACAATTTTTTTAAGAGTGATATCTTTTTCCCGCATTGCGTAATCTTAGCTCATCTTCTTATTTTTAGACTTCTACATTTGTATATAAATTTTAAGGGAGTGTCACTCGTTGCCCCTTCTTTCTTTTTGTTTTTTTGAACAATTTCTTTGCCTTTACTAAAACTTTTTTTTGAATATTACTTTTAAACTTATTCCTGCTGTTTTAAACCCCAGTACTGCACCCTGTTTTTTCCAAAAAACCCATCCTCTATAATCTATCATTTAAATTTTCCTAAAAAAACGTACCAGGGGCGGGTTAGAATCCGCGAAGAGAGTTCTTAAATTCCTAGACAGTCTCAGGCCCTTTCAATCAAATTGGCTATGCAACCCCACTTCAACCCCGGGGATGAACCCACCCTTTATAACTATCTTTTTTGTCAAAAATTTGCCCACTTTTGAATCTTGAAAGTCCCTTTTCGGTCAGACATTTTCCTTCCCTAACTTTTAAACCCCCACTCCCCCTGGCAAGTGCTCTTGAATGGGACCCTTTCCCTTTTAACTGACTATTTCTATGGTTTACCTGTACCTTTTTTGCGCTCCTGTCCCTCCCCTTCCGTTCCTTTTCCACCAGCACAAAGACAGTAATAGGTTGTTCCCATTACCTGAAAATATTATCTAACCCGGTGGTATGTCACCAACCCGCTCCGGGAGGCACTCCTCTGTCGGCCCTTTCTATCTCTTTACAAAAAGACGGTCCATTTTTCTTCCCTGAGAGGCCCACAATTAGAAATTCTTCCCTTGTTGCGGGGGGTCAGTGGTACCTTCCCTCATAACCAGAGTAAAGGGGGTTAGTAAAAAAAGGAATCGATTTTACCTTAACTTTCTCTTTTAAACCTTCCTTATCTGTCTTCTTCTTAAATTTTGAACCACTTGCCACTTAAAGGGGCTGCAACTCTTTAGCTCCTGCGGGATTTTTTCCTCCTTCCCACACCAACCATCTCACACTCACCCCCCAAACCCCAAAAGGGCCCTTCAGCCTTTTTTTTCCTCCTGAAGAAGTAACCCTCCTTCTTCAAACTTTAACCTGAGTTCCAAACATCGCAAGCAAATTCCCCAAAAGGTTAAGAAGAAAACCTCACGTGACCTTTTTACCCCAGTACGCACAACCTAACTCCAATTGTTTCAAAAAGGGAAAACAATAAGCATAAATGTTTAAAGCTTACCAATGATACTTTTTCCGTTATTGCATTTAATCCAACAAATTTGTCTCTACACAGCCAAAAACCCCCCAAACGTTCTATCCAACATACTTTGCATCAGCCATTAAAGGGCTGATGCTATTAAAAATTTTTATTGGGGGGCAATCAAATTCGATCAAAGCAAAGGAAAGATAGTCCTTTTTTTTTGAATCAAGGCCCCTTCCCCATCAAAACAAAATGCAATAAGTTAAACTAATATTAAACATACGAGATTAAAAGGGTTTCAAGAGGGCATTAACACCTCCATTAATTACCCAAATTTCTTCTAAGTAAGATCATGTGCTGAAATTTTTTTAATCAAGCGAAATGGCTGTCTCCTTAACACGGAAAAAACCCGGATGACGTTGTGTTTCATTTTGTAAGGCATCCCAAAAAGCAAATACCCCTGAATCTTACCTTCATATTTTCAAAAAACATGAATATTATACGGGATTACCCGGAGAGGGTTTCGGGGTCGACGCCCCCCGCCGCCCGGTCTGTGACCGGCCTCGTGGGGACCAGGGGTGATCAACCCGTTACCAGGCTGTTCCTTGGCTGCACTTAAACCGAGTAAAACCACAGCCCGGGTGGTCAGGTACTAATTTAGGTGCCTGTCCAACGCGTTCTTGAAGGTACGGGGTGTATTGGGAATCCCCTTATGCTGGGGGGCAGTTGAACAGTTTGGTCTCCTGAAATCTGGCTCTTAAGTACCGTGGGTTTCCCCCGTTTTCATTTGGGGAGGGTAGCACCGCTGCCGAGCCTTTCGTTCTGTAGAAGTGATTTT